TTTATTTGCATAGCCTGATATGGCACCCAAAATTGCATACAAATTATCACATTAAATTATCATGGAAAAGCAAATTATTAGATATCGTAGTGTGTGATGTTTATTTTGTACAGATAGAAGTTATAGATAGGATTTTCAGGAATTCAGTATCGTTGTTTGTTAACATGCCTTAATATGGTGTGTATACTAATTTAAAACAAAAAATAACACCATATTTATTTGCAACTACTCAGTGATATAATCATGAGCATAAACAATGGTCTACTAAGGCTTTTAGTGTTCTTGTGAATAAAGTACACATACTACTTATCAGCCAGTTGATAGTATCATGCCATTTAGTTCTAATTGACAATAGCTATCAGTAACATTTACCTTACAGTTACACATGGTAAAGATTTGGCAATAGCCTTCTGTTTATTCTGCACTAGAATTAGTAAACATTATGATTGCAACTGCAGCAATTATATGACCTCAGTATGGTCATTTTTTAAACAGACTTTGTATATTTTCATACACACATTACTTTACACTGGATTTTGAGGACTGAAACAACCAATACACTTTCAGAACTCAATCAAGCAGTTAAAAAAATATTCAGTACTAATTAAACGGATAACAGACATTTGTTCAAGCCTTAAGCTATCGTAAATTTTCAAATTCTAATAAATTTTAATGACCGACTACTTAATTAACAGTGATCTTTTTAGTTGATGCTTTGGTAAAATTGTAACAATATTTCACACTGATCCAGAAGATAGTATTACATGTAAATGTATTATAACGATTCTTTGTCCTTCCTCGTGAGTTGTACAACCAGACATGTGATTTTAAAAAGGTATACCACAAAAATACAACTTTTAATGAGTTAATAATATTAATTGTTCCGGAAAGATGAGTTCAAAATAACCAGTCTTATCATAGATAAAGATTATTTTTTTATTTTTCTCTTATAATACAATTATTTCTATTTTGATTATCCTGTATGTGCATCTACTATATCACTTAAAAGTGTTACTGTTAATGTACTATAAGCTTAACCGGTATTATACACTTCAGGATTATCCGAAGAGTTGAGAATAATTTCTCTGATTAACTGTAAACAACTTAAAGTAATTTCGTTGGCTACAGATATTTAACTATTAACTAATTGAATAAATTCATGAAAAAAGCCCACCAATCAATAATGTTTATGATTAATTAGGCCTGTTGCTCAATATGGAGCAGGGGTTGCCAACCAGGATTCGTTAACCAACTCTATCATGGGCCTTCATTTCCAGTTCTACACAATTGTAATTCATTTATTTCATGTCTGTATCGAATTCTCAATGTATTGTGTTCCTTAATCTACATCTTTTCCTTTGGTCTTGATGATCCCAAGTTGGGGCTTATATCGTGATGAAGTCAAGTGATTTCCGCAATGTGTCCTATTCACTTCCAGATCTTTTTCGTCCGAGGATGAAATCTGTTTTGTTTTCTTGCCACAGTCGATTGTTGCTGATAGTGTCTGGCCAACGAGTCTACAGTATCTTGCGTAAACAACTGTTTATAAATACCTTTATCTCGTCGATGACGTCTTCCGCAGTCCTGAAAGTTTCCACCCCATTCATTAGGACCGCTTTGATGTTCGTAACTATAGTGTTGGTTGATAGACAGTTGTTTTGAGTTCAAGGTGTTCTTTGGTTATAGAAATTTTGCCTTTTCTTTGCTAATCGATGCCTTTGCATCAGCAACAGATCCACCTTGTGTATAAATGATGCTGCTCACGTAAGTAAAGGTTTCCACATCTTCCAAATCTTCTCCATCAAGTGTTATTTGGTTGACGCATGTTAAGTTGTATCGGAGGATCTTGATTTTTCTCATGTGTATGTTGAGACATACTGCTGCAGAGGTTATTTCTACACTGGCTGACACTTGGAATAGGCGTGTGAGCTGTCCTTCGTGCACAATTTTGCAGTTTAAAGCATCATAAGCGTTTCGTATGATGTTGACTATCTTCTCGAGTACAAATTAGTATCGATGAAGCATCCATAGTGTCAACTTGTCCTCACTGTCAAATGCTTTTTCTTAGTCAAGGAAGTTGATGTAGAGTGATGATTGATTGTTCCAAAATGATCTGTAGTGTGATGATTTGGTTGGTATACAATAGATCTTTACGGAACCTAGCCTGTTGATCTAAAAGTTGGGCGTCTACTTAACCTTTCATTCGGTTTAGCAACACTGTTCTGAAGATTGTTAGTAGTACTGATAGTAGAATGATGCCTATATAGTTCTCACATTTGCTGACATACTTCTTTGATATTTTGGTAAGGTATCCTTCTTTTCAGTCTGTCATCACTTGTTATTTCTCCTTAATATTGCTGAAGATAAGGTGTTGTATATTAGCAGTTACTACTGTGTTTGCTTTGAATACCTGAGCTGCTACCTTGTCTGGTCCTGATACTTTGCCACTATCGATTTGTCTGATGGCCACATTGGTTTCTTCAATTATTGGTAGGTCAACATTCACTGGGAGGTCTCTGGGTGCTGCTTCGATGTTGATTGGGTTCAGTAGGACTGATCTACTCAAGTATTTTACCCACCTGTTTCGTTGTTCCTGGATGTTGGTGACTACTTTGAGTTCTTTGCTTTTCACTGGTCGTCCTGCCTTACCATATTGTCCAGCAAGCTTCTTTGCTTTATCGTTTAGTTTTCTCATGTTTCCTTTTCTTGCAGCTTGTCGTGCTATCAATACTAGATCTCCCAGGCATTTAAGTTTGCCCGCCCTGATGCTCCACCTCATTTGCTTGTTTGCTGCTGTTTATTCTGCGTATGCTTTGGCTTATTCTGCTCTTGTTCGGCTGTCGCCCTGTTATCCTTCTCTTGAATCTTATTCAGAGTATCCATAGTGATCCATTCCTTGTGATGGTGCATCTTATAGCCTAAAAGCTCATGACGTGCTGAGGTTATGGCTTCTTTAATCCCTTTCCAGTTGTTCTTCATGTTAGTTTCCACCCCCTGAATAGATCATGAAAGGTTTGAAACTTGTTGCTGAGAATTATTTTGAGTCCTCCGAGTTTTTCAGCATCCTGAAGAAAGGCCGTATTGAGCTTTTGTAATGCTTTCGATCAAGTGTCCAGTGATTTCTTGGCTTCGGTTTTAGCTTGGCCATCACCAGGTAGTGATCTGAAGCTATATCAACTCTTCTCTTGATTCTTACGTCAATATGGTTTTGTGTGGTGTGACCCAATGGAACCCATGTAGATTTATATGTGCGGTTGTGGGAATATGGTGCCACCTGTTATCGATTTGTTGAAGGCAAATCTCACACCCGTTTCTTTTCTTTCTCACAGTCCATTTGGTCCCATGATATCTTCATATCCAGTGTTGTTCATTCGAACCTTGGTACTTAGATCACTCATCGGAGCGGTCAGATCATTTGTTGGGCATTTCTCGACGACTGGCTGCAACCTCTCATAGAATCGATCGTTATCTTCCTCATTGTTGGCAGATGCATAGTAGTGAAAGACGTCCATTGTAATCCACCCTTTTCTTTGTCTTGAAGGATGCTTTGATGATCCTGGATCCATGAGATTCCTCTCCTAAGAGCTATTTTGAACAGCATCAGTGCAACTCCTTGAGTATGTGAGACATTTTGTTCTTCATGATCGGAGTATAACAGTATAACAAAAGTGGCTTTTTTGTCCAGCCCTCGTCCGATGTATTTCATTGATTACAAGTACCATCATTTTTCATTTCCGCAGCTACTTGAATAGTTCTTCCGGTCTTCCACATTGTACGCACATTACATGTACCCATATTAACGGTTGCTCGGGTTGCGAGAAGAGGAATCGGCTGCGTGACTTCCGAAGAAACTCGGCTTTCACAAAGAGATGTTACAATTCTTTTAAATGACGACCCTTCAACTCCCAGCTAGGAGTTTAAGTGGTCTGAAAGATGTTTTCTGACTAGCCCTTTCTTAGCGAGTTAGTTTTCTACGGTATAACGTTGCAAAACCCATACCAATCCTCCTTTGTCAGTTCTTGGGATCAGCAGTAACCCTAGAACGGCTGTAGGGGCAGTTAAATATTCATAACTAATTTATTTTAATCATATCGTCAACGTTAAAATTGGAAAGGTATGAAATATACAACAACAATTCGTATTTACTAATATACAGAACAAATAAGTTTTTGGCTAGCGTCGAAATTCAACAGGCTAATTTCGTTTAGTATGGGACTCGTCAGCTGAATGTACTTTGGGCTCCTGTTGATGTTCATAATTTGAGATGAACCCAGTACCATTCTCTTCAAACACCGATCACTTTATCTTTTTAGCTGCTGAGTTCAGACAATTACTCACTTTTGCAGCGGGTATGATATTATTTCTAACAATGATATAAATCTATCTCGGTACAAAAATGAGAGGTTTATTTGTTGAGTCACCTAAGCTTTATTTAAGCATTATTTGCAACAAGGAAGGAATTATAGTCAACCGTTCATATTTTATTACTTATTAAAATGAAAAATCTTCATCATCTCAAATCTTATCACAATCGACACCAATAACAAACCTGCTTCCTTCATTCCCCTAAGTAAATACATATTTGCGCATACACACACAAACAAATATTTCTTTACAAACGAAGAATATATATACATTGAATGCATTCACTTAATTTATCCAATCATTTTAAAGTAACATAGGCAACAGTAATAATCTTAATCACAGCTAAAATGCATTGCGAGCCAACACTGAAACTCTCAAAACTCCAGTATCATATCACGTGTTTCAACTCTTCTGGGGAAATAAGCAATCATAATAAAATTGACAATCAAATCAAAGAAGAAATCATTTCAGAATAATTATTATTCAGTAACTTCTCAACTAATTTAAATGAACTATCATTTATACTTTACTCGATTAATTTTTATTTTGCAAACTACAATTATTCTTTTTAACAAAATTTATGTCATACTTGGTAATGAATCAAAATCATTGACATCTAATTTATTTAATACTAGTAATGATGTTATTCGTAAAAGAACTCTATCATCATTATCATCATCGTCATCAATGTCACAATATCCTGAATCTGATTATGTAAAAATGTCTTCTAAGGAAAATTTCATTAATTTTCGACAATCTCAACGATCGGTAAAAGTGAATACATTAAATAATAAATTGACTAATTGTCAACTGCAATTGGAATGTTCCACTGAAATGGAAACTGTCGATAATAAACAGATGTCAATAATGAATTTTTCAACTACTCGTACTGCTGGTCGTATACGTATACCTGTTCGTAGTGGTAGAGGGCCAGCTGGACCACCTGGTCCACAAGGACCTCCAGGACCGCAGGGTGCAAGAGGATTACGAGGACCACCTGGTGAATCTGGCAGTTTGAAAGGTAAAATCTTTGTTGTATGAGAAAGAATAAATAGCTTATTTATGATCTAGAATATAGGCCGGTGTTCTTTTCCGGGCATGCGTAGAGGTCATGTACCATTTTTACTGTTAAATAATATGATTGTGTTGCCGAGATTATTTAATTACTTGAGAAAGTTCACTCTGATTGTTATGCCATCTAAATGAATGTGATATAAAAGCAAACGAGTCTGAATCGGTTAAGTGATGACTGTTCGCGAAAAACTAAGATAGTAAAATAGATGCCAATTGGTATTATGTTTCAGTGAATAATGTTTTTATAGGCAAATTATTGCATAAAAAAGTAAATCTGTTTAAAAATTACTGAGCTTAAAGTAGTACAACTAAGAAAACTAGCAAAATAACTAATTAACAGATCAGGATAATTCATATTGAAAATGGAATTTATTCTATTCATAAGTATTTAGCTTTAATGTGTCTCAATTTTTTAATTATCAGTTGAATGAACTTTTCTGGAATTGGAAAATGCTTCTTAACCAATTAATTTAGCAGATCAAAATTCATTACAACCTGTATTAAAATTCAAAATAATTCGTAAACTTTCAGTTTGATATTATTTTTGGAATAGCTTAAGTACAATACAATTATTGGACTAAAGTTTTGGTTGGTAAAAAATAATAGTGCAATTTTTTCCTATAAAGTCACTCACTTCAAATGTAAACACGAAAAAGTGTGCATTACAAATTTGGAAAACGGATTTCAGTTTCATTGTTTACTGTTAGGTACTTAATACTATGAGTAAGCTTCCCAGTGAATTTGTATCATGAAATTGATTTATCCTCCTACATATTTTGATAAGCAGATGCAACTTGGCGATTTGGGATGTTTGTAAGTTTCGCTTACTTTACGCAACATTTGTCATTATTGTCTTGGATAAGACAGTTAATATCATCTGTGGTTCCTTTTACCACCAAAAGAAGAATACGATGTGATAAACAACCTGTTGTATAATACTTTATAGTTGCAAATACTTTGGTTTCGATAGGTGAAGACACAAATAAGTTGCACATTTTTAATGGATACTACTTTTTTTGCGTATTTTCTGAATATTGTAGGACTATTTAGAGAATAATTGTAAATGTAGATACAGATTAACTTTCAGCTGGTGAAACTCAAATGATGATGAGTGCGTTTATCGATAAAAGCAGTAAGAATATAGATTATTCGCATCAAGCTGTTACTTAGTCGAATGTATCATGTTTTTAAAGGCAAAAGAAAGAAATAAAACATTAATGGATGTACACGTTTTCTGTATTACGGTCGTTTGATTACAGTCACTTTAGATAAAATATTAAACAAAACCAGGTGTATGCTTTAAGTTGTTCATTAGTAGGAAAACTGAAGTGGATGTTATCCACAGACTTCAAACTATTGTTTTCTCCTTTAAATAGTTTTGCTGCAATACAAAGTTAATCTGAATTGAGAAAATATCAGAGGAAGTAATCGCTGCATTATTCTGTTACATGAATATATATATATATAAGAAATTTTTCCTAAATATTGTTGGGCGTTCCCTTGCGTTTACTGAAAAGATACAAAATATTTCAGTAAGGCAGTATCAGCAGTTGTGTAAAATAGATTCGAAAGACATATATGGGCATCTTTTGGTTGTATTGCATTTTCTGATACAATTGGCTCAAACTTTCATGATCATTCCTAACATCCTTCCAAATGTTCACTTTTATTTAAAGTAAGCACAGACGGACATGTTTATAACGATAATAAAAGGTTCTTAAGCAAACTATCCAGCTTAGAAAACATAATATCTTCCAAAACATTCATCAAGGACAAAATATCTTTTTCTCCATTTTAAAGTTTATCAGCATCATCTGTAAATAAATCGACTATAAAAAATAATATTTTGAAGAAACAGGAAGAGCTATTTGTATTTAATATTTTGTAGTTTAATTAACTAAATGTATATTTATCATAAGTGTACTACTTAAAGTTGCTGCTTTCAGAATAAACATATAAAGATTCATTATTTTAAATGGTAGGAAGCTAATGTAAACGTTACGTAACCACATGGTTTTCTTATACAGAAACCCATTTACTACCGAATAAAAAAATACTAAAACTAAGTAATTAATTGTCATACGAATAGTTTTTTTTCTTCGAAATCAATTTACTTAGACAGTAAGTTTTATATGCGGAATATCTATTGAGTTTGTTTGATTTCTAAAATTTCAAATGTTCCGTTGAAAACAAGTAGATAAAATACAGAATTATATTTTACTTAAAATAATTTCATGGGAGGAACTTTTATAACAATTCAAAAAAATGTGTTTTCGGTTTTTTTTTTGACTAATACTTTTTAATAGAGATCATCAGTATCATAAATAATTGTAAAGCGCTAAAAGTATTGCATTCTTAAAATTGCTTAAAAAAAGATACAATATGTAAGGATTAATAAACTGCACATATTTTATTATGATAAATTACTATGATGTATCATGTTAAAATATTACAAATATACTAATATACTCTGAAAACCTACAGGTTGGTTAATCGATGACAGATTGTTTAGTATAGAGTGATGTTTGATTTCTGTTTACAACGAGTTAGTAATGTGATGGTGTAACTTAACTGATCTAGTGAATTTACAGTTAAATACTTTAGATTATAAGGTTTGTGATTTAGTTTTGCATGAACTACTGTTCATCAATCTAACTAAAATTTTAAATAACAGAGAATCAATCTTTCTTCAAACAAGTGAAATTGTGTCAGTTAATATCGAAATCACTATTTTAATTATGGCATTAAATTATAAGGGTCATGTTCTCTAAGATGATGCAATTTCATGCCAACACATGCATAAGATGATTATCATAAATGATCAGTTTACTAATCAATATCTTTGGATGACTTCTCAAAAGGTTTGTTAGTGAGCTTTGAAAAGAAAAACTAAAATTTGCACGTCACTGAATCTGTTAAGCTGTGTGTTTTAAAAACAACTAGTTACATAACTAAATATATTACAAAAATAGAGTAACACCATTTTCGTTTACAGAAGTTGTGAACAAGACTCTGTCATATTTCGTGCAAAAGTCAATCGTAAATAATAATCTCTATCAGTTCAACATATCTTATGTCACACCAGCACAGCGATAGAAAATGGATTTCATGTTCTCATTTTATAAATTTTACTATCTTTCAACTCTTATATTAATGACAAAATAATTGATTAATAATTAATATATATTCATTGAATATACAAGGATGAGTATCAGACTCAAAGGTTTCTGTCGTTAGTAGTACGTTAGTAATACGGTTTTTTATAAACCGCAGGCATTTCCAAAAATAAACTCTTTCAATAGTGTCATCATCGAAATTATTTGTTGTAGAAAGGAATTGGAAGCATAAATTTTCTATAAAGCAAAATAGTCAGTGCATATCTTATTGAGTTCGAATGTCAATACTATTTTTGTAAAATGAAAAAAAAGAGTGTTATTTACTATGTTAAATCTAGTTTTACTATTTAAATGACAGATGTTCATATGGTTGCGTATTATGCACGTTGTTAATTTAAGTATCTTATCAAGATATCTAAATCTTCTCTTATATGTATATACATAGTCATCAATATAGAAAACGCGAAAAAAAATTCAATACAACATAGTAAAATAAGATTGAAAAATGAACATATTAAATGTATTAAAATAAAGATTTTAATGCCAGTAGAATAAGAAATCACTTAATTTTAACTAGTCTTCTTGTCATGAATATTGGAAGAAGTCAGAACTTATTCTTCATAGATAGAAAAACAACGTATATCTATGTATATATGTATATATGTATATATATAATCTCTCATAAAAAGACAGAAAGGGTAAAGTTAATTGGATAAAGTCAAGACTATAGAAAATCAACTTTAAAAAAAAACAGAAATCTCTTTGTTTCCTTTTACAAAATTTATTATCAAATAGCATTTCATTCAATTATTTGTACTCATCGCTTATATCTATATTATATTTGCGTGTTTTCTGAACATTTCTGTTCAAGTTTATCAAGATAAGAAGAGTGAATGAGTGAGTGAGTGGATGAGTGAGTGAGCGAGCGAGCGAGAGAGAGAGAGAAGTAGAGGGAATGAATTACCAAAAACACAAAGAAGAACAGAAAATAAATAGGTAAACTATCTTTACATTGTTACAAAAAAAAATTAGGGTGGGTAAATAATATATATTGGAAAGAATTTAGCTGATAAAGAATTTTGCGTATTACTACTTTTGATACTAATACAATTACTATTTCAACTGTCATTTTAAACTGAACTAAAGCGACTCCAAAAAAATCCAAAAATATATTTGTGCATGCATGTGAAAGAAAATATCATTTTCATGTCTTATTTACGAGAGTATTTTAAGTTTTATATGTAACTTTAGAAAAAGTAACTATCGAAGTTGACCATAGAGTTTATGTTTTCTCTTTTAGGAGAGACCGTTATAACTAGATAATGTCAAGAGAACAAATACTAGAAGTTATGAACTTTATAGGTGTTCTCATTTTGTTCTAAAGGTCATTATTAGAACATAGTTAATAAATTACTTAAGAAATAATCTGCATTACTGTAACTCTTAATTAAACAGTTGAAATCCACAATCCTCATACGTTGGATTTGAATTTTGAGTATCTACCGAATATTTTCTTAGGTTCTAGGGAATGCAGTTTGATTGAAGATAGAGTTAGTTACGTGATTATTAATCCTCCGACATTAATTTTATGATATATACTGACTGGCGCTACGGAGAATTGTGATTATATCCTGTATTTTATACGGGCATGTTCAAGGTAAAAGATATTCCATTAATAACAAGAACTTAAGTATATAAACTTAAGTTTACTTTTGAAGAGAATAGCTCTACTGCATTCCTTCAAGATTAATTTGTATAAATATATTAATTGATCAATGGTTCTAATATGCATAATAATATGACAATAATTATTAGCACTTACACCCTTAAA